TTGTAGTACTGATCATTGTAATTTTGTGTAATGTTTTCTGTTTTCCCAAATCAAGCAATTCTGCAAGACTTCCTCAATTTGGGAAGTTGACAACATCAAAACAACAATTCAAAGATGTCACAAAGCGACAGAGCAATTTTGTGAGGCCAGGCTTCTTTCAAAAATGAAATGTTCTGTATACCATATGCTACATACTTTATAGTATGCTATATCTGATATCTGTATTTCAATACTATATCCGTATATCTGATATATCCAATTTGATATTGCGGATTTCAATTCCAGCTAGTGACTTTATGTTTTGTCTACTTATTATGATTATGACTCTAGTAATTGTAGTAGTATTTTACTAATTTTAAATCTAATCTAATTATTGTTTTTTTCTGTTTTTCTTTTTTTTGGTGTTTTTTTTGTTTTTTTTGCTTTTTTTTGTTTTTTTTTAGCATTTTGATTTGCTTTTTTGTCTTACATTTTTCACATTTTTTCACAAATAAATTGATTTTCAAGTTTATAGGATTCTGGCTAACTGGTTAACATAAATGAAGTCATGCAACCCTTGCCACAAGCCAAAGGACACATCTGTGGCAATTTGGTCGTCACAAGTGTTGCGATCTGGCGCCAAGGCAAAGGCAACCCTCTTGAAAAAGGCTTGAAGCCCTGGTCTCAAAACCCACTCCAGTGCCTCGACTTTTCCGAAAAGTTTGTTGGAAAGAATAGTGGCGCATGGCCCATGTTGCGTGACAATGTCATCGCGCTCCGATTGCGTATATGTGCATAATTTGCTTCTGGGGATGAAGTGCGCACTTTCCTTGCAATCGGACCATGGGGTGGTCATCACATTCATGAGCTCATCGGAAACAAAGGCTGCACGGTTGCACTTCATGACACAAGTGCGCAATCCTCTCAATGTAGCCTCACCTCAGGATCCGTTGCATCTAAAGGCTGTGGTTTATTTTTCATATGAACTGCTTGCAACGGCTATATGGTAGTGACCACCAAGTGACCACTCGTGTGGGCATGCCGTCTGCGAATGACTGATTTGTTGCGTGTGGCTTTCTAAGTGCCTCACTGATGTATGCCGAGCTGTCAGCCAGTTCAGGAAGGCATGTTGCGACTTGGTGACAAAATCTGTTGTCAAATCGCTGGTTTTTCGAGAGGAAGCAGAGCCACCCATGATGACAGCCTCCAGGGAAAGGCCATGTGTGGCATGGTGGCATGACTGGCACGCATCTGTAAACATGAAGCTTGTCAACTAGCTAAACAAAAAAAACGTACACATACAAACAGTGCGGAACCTTGTTTGGGGTGATAGTGTGGATCCTGGCTAAGCGCTGCAGCGGAACTTTGGCATAGGACTTGTCTGCTTGCCCTTGCGTAGCTTGTGCATGCATCTCATCACTGATCAGCATCTCCTCTGCGGCGGCTGCTTCAACGAGTAACCCTCGGACTTGCGCAGACATTTGCTTCTGCTCCTTGGCGCTAATTTCTCGACCAAGCTCTCTCTCTCTCTCTGCACATCTTTGAGAATTGTGTCCAAGGTTGCTTTTTTCCGATCAGCATTTGCCACCAAATTGAAGAGCAAACCGTGCATCTCCTCACTTGACAAGGCTTTGGAAGACAGCCCCTTACTCTTGCGGGCTTTCTTGGCTGGACGAGCTGGAGGATCAGCGCCACACAAATCTCCTGGAGCTCCTGGAGCAACGTGAACATCATCCTCGGCTGCACCAACTGAAGCACCCACAGGCGGAGGCTCACAGCCTAAGCGGCTCCGGTGGTGCTCCAGGAAAGTAATGTTGGAATTCATGCAAAGCAAAAAGCTTTCCAAATGAAGACCTTCTTTGGTGCAAATCGCTTCTGCTGCTTTCAGCAATGGCAAAGGGGATGCCAAAGACAAAGCATGCTCACAACAGGTTGCTAATTCCCTGTGGCTGCGGATGTCTTTGTGGATGCAATCCAACTGACGGGCTATACGGCAGCATGCAGCTCTTGCTCATGGGTGATAGGAGAAGCGCGTGGCCCAAACCCAGAGAACAAGTCTTGAGGAAATAGAGCGAGCTTCCATGCAGCCATGTTGGTTGCCTGCTCAACTTCTTGCAAAGCTGGGGTAGCAGGATCTAGGTCCTGTGAGTCAGTGGGACAAAAGGTTTGAGTCCGCGAACTGGAAGCCAAAGACCTCATCAGGATTATCTAAGATTTTTTTTCCGTCCAACGCCTTCATGGCTTCCGCCAGGTCGTTACACACGTTCGATCGTAGCAAAAGATGAATTGAGATTATCGTGCAAGGCTGTCAATTGTCGATAGCCACAAAAGTACTGGTAATGGACCTGTACGCAGTCCAGTATGCAATCCCAGCAAGAAAACCAAAAACACAAAACAAACCACAAAAACAAACAAGCAAACCCAACAAACAAAAACAAACAACAAAAAACCAGCAACAAACAAAAACAAAAGCAAAAACAAAACAACCAAAAGAACACCAAGAAGTGGGATCGCTACCAGCAATGGAGATTCATGCATGATGACATCTTGTGTGTCATGATGATAATGGCCCCTAACAAGAAGCAAAACAGAGAACCACGACAAAAACACCAGGGGCCAATTCAGAGGGTGTAAGAAGCAACAAAGCTCAATGCAGAAACCAGGGATCCCCCCAGCCAGGATCCCCGAGATCACAAAGAGCAGCCGTCCAGGCATGACATTCACCCTGACACTTCGAAGCAAACACCGACAACGCCGGGTCGCAACGAAAGTGGTGAGAAGAGAGAGAACGGTGAAACAGGAGGGTGAGACATGGTCTAGTGTGAAAATGACAGCAAAAGCTACGGCACTCAGGGCGCACTCAGAGTCCGCTCAGTAGTTCTTTTCCTTGCATCAGCATCATGGGAGCTGCAGTTTGCGGTAAGTTCCAGTGCACTAGTGCTCTTGCAAGTACTGTCAAGGTCCCTTTATCGCAGCCATGTTTTGACCACTTTTTGGGCCCTGTTTTATGGGCCATGATGAAGCAGGTTTGTTGGCATTCGAGGCGCTCCAAGGCTTACCGAGGCCTGCCCGAGGCACGAGGACAAAGCGAGGCTCACGGGGACTCGAATCTATATACTATGGGGGTACGCCCATGCGTCACCGCAAAACTGCCTGTTTTGGGGCCTGGTTTTGGAACCTCATTTTGCTCAATCTTGCGGCCGCTTCTTGCTACTTACATGGGGGAAGGTTTTGGCGGCAGCAGGTTCCGAGTCCTTTATGGTGGAGAAATCTATTGCAGGTTCTGGTGCGCGAGCTGAACCACTTCAAGCAGCAGCGCAAAGCGTTGCGACAGGCATCTCAACTGTGTTGCTTTGGCTTGCAGATGCAATTCGTCACTGTTTTCTGATGTTGGCCCTCCAGAACAGAAATCGGCAGCAAAGCGCCGCCAGCGGTTGCTAAAAGCACCCCAACAGCCGCCAAGCTAGGATGTGCGTTTTCCCACAGCGCGGAGCGTATAGTTGATGAACTTGGACTACTATACCCTGAAAACCGTGGAAATTTGCGGAAAAACATGGCCAGCGTATAGTGTATAGTTGGTTCAATTCGATAAACTACGCTACGCACAGTTTTGGGCAGGTGAGGGTCTCAGATTCTTTCGTCGCGACGTAGAAACGTATCGAAAAAAAATTGCAAACATCAAAATATCGCATTGGCCGGAAATGAAAACGACAACACATGGCAAACCACAAGAAACTGAATCACAAGCTCCACAAACTGCATTGGAAAGAATTGGACAACTGACATGAGTGAGATTCCTGAAGTGCCGCAATCCTTTTTGACAGTGGTGAGGTCTTGCGCAGATCCATTTAACGGCTGCTGCAAAAGGTCCTTGTAAGCTGAGCACACCTCAGCCTTCCAATGCGCCATCACGGACGCATACATACTGTAAATTATTACATCCAGCAAACGTAGTGCTATTGCTGAAGCCATCTGACTTCTGTGTTGCAGCAAGCCCAACAACGTAAAGTGAGAGGACTGTCCAATGGCCTCTCAAAAACTGCTCCCACGCAAGTATGAAACCTCACCCTCTCTCAGGGTGGGTTGGGATGGGTACCTGAAAATTTCTTGACAGCCAAGGCTTCGTCGAAATAAAGAGTTGACATCTTCCAGAGAAGTAAAAACCAAAGTGTGACATCATACGAAACTGTTTCCATCTGACATGACTGCAGTCTCGATGTTTCAACTTCCGTTTGAACATCAACAGTAACCAAATGAAATGAAAGCACTGCAAACCATTCCAAGAGATTGATTGTTCCAAGTCAAACTGTTGTAACCAGAAAACCTCTGCATCAAATACCACGCTGCAGCAAAAACTTCAAACTGAAAAATGTTGAACCTTCGCTACAGCCACACACGAACCCGAGCAAACACCTCCAGAGGAAAACGGCCAACAAGCAGAAACAAGCAAGGCCAAACCGGCCAGAGCACCACCCACCCACCCGACCAAAACTGTGCTTCACATAGACACACTGGGCAAGCCCAGTGAAGCCTACGCTACGCACAGTTTTGGGCAGGTGAGGGTCTCAGATTCTTTCGTCGCGACGTAGAAACGTATCGAAAAAAATTTGCAAACATCAAAATATCGCATTGGCCGGAAATGAAAACGACAACACATGGCAAACCACAAGAAACTGAATCACAAGCTCCACAAACTGCATTGGAAAGAATTGGACAACTGACATGAGTGAGATTCCTGAAGTGCCGCAATCCTTTTTGACAGTGGTGAGGTCTTGCGCAGATCCATTTAACGGCTGCTGCAAAAGGTCCTTGTAAGCTGAGCACACCTCAGCCTTCCAATGCGCCATCACGGACGCATACATACTGTAAATTATTACATCCAGCAAACGTAGTGCTATTGCTGAAGCCATCTGACTTCTGTGTTGCAGCAAGCCCAACAACGTAAAGTGAGAGGACTGTCCAATGGCCTCTCAAAAACTGCCCACCTTCAGGAGAGGTGGTTGGACCGTCCGACACAAGACTCACCATTGGGATTTGTCATATCGTTTCTTCGAGCCCTTTGGCTCCAACTTGGCAGCCTCCCTTGCACTTTCTCTTGCAGCATCAAATTGCGCTCTTGTTTGAACCAGCGCATTAAGAACATCCAATTCAATGTCTTCCCATTTCAACCTTATCCGTGCACTCTCCTCAAAACCTGTGAAAATTTCATTGGTTAAACTGTCAGCCTCAGTGTTCTCCTCTCTCGGGCGCCACTTCAATCCTAGCGACAATCTCGCCTTCGAGAGAGATGCCGACAATTGCATGTTCACTGCCATCAATGGCCACTTTGTTGTAGATCGTTTCGCAGAAAGGGCCTCATTGGCCAAATTATCTGTGCCCGCAAACATCAAAGCTTCAAGGGACTTCCTGTCCTTGTTCTCAACCAGCCATCCAAACGCATGCAACGCCAACAGCGTGGCAAGCAGCTCAGCAGATGTGGAGGCCCATTGCGAAGCCCCCCCAGGTTTGAAAAGAAAGGGGGCCTCTGTCGGCCCAATGCGAAGACTGTACCACCTCTTAGTGTCAAGCTCCCAGCCTGCTAACACAATGTATCCATCCGCACACTTCGCATCTGTGCGAAACCTCTCACCAGCGATGACCTTAGGCCTGTGAGTTGAAACCATGTAAGTTCCTGTTGCAAGTTCAACCTCAATGTACCTCAAAGTCAAAATTATAGTTTCAGGGAGTCTTCCCACAGTTCCTTTCGCCGTCACCGCCGACCATGCAAACAAAGGAGCCAGGTGTGGTTTTACCCACGTGATCAGTTGAGAGATGAAACCAAGCCGCCCCAAAAACTCCGCAAACTCCCTAGCTGGGACCACATAGGAATTGGCCCTCACTTTCGCTATCCATTGTAATAGCCAGTCGCCCCTTCTTACAGAAATCCCAACTTGGGATAAATCGTACCTGATGTGGTAACCAACAAAGTCAGATGCGTAGCCACCCTTGAACTTGTGATACCCAAAGGGCGTACCTATCATCTCATAGGCCAGCACCCAGACCCAAAGGTGCAGAAACTTCTGCATTCCCACAAATGATCCATGCAAGTCATCCACATAAATCATCTGCATCATCCAACGCTGATTGAAGAGGTACCCAACAAACCTCCCAAGAAGCCCCGCAAGTTTTGCCCACCAGTATGGTGCGCTTGCCACACCAAAAGTGCCTGTATGATTGACCCATACCGTACTGGACCCAGAATCTGCTCTGCAACAAAGAAGGCCCCAATCCCGTTTCCGAATTTTAACAAGCCTGTGTGCCGCCTTGATGTCAGCGCTAACACAGAAAGGAGCTTCGCCAGTACCCGTGGCTTCACGAACGATGGATGCTATTTCAGGAGGGCCAGGGCATTCAATCTTATCCTTGTAAACGATGCTGTGGTTCACCATCACAGAGTGCGTAGCGTCATGCAACGGCCTGACTGTGCCGTCCGGCTTCAAGATTGCAGCCATGGCTGCTACCCTCAGGGTGTCCCCGTATTCTTGTTGTAATACTCCCAACTTGGAAGGGTGCATGCGCCCAAGTCTTTCTTCTTCACAGAACTTGTCTTCCAGTTCTTTGGAAGAAACCTGTGCTGAAACATAATTCTCTGCTATCGGCAAGAACTCTGTATCATCGAGCTTCTTGTGCTTGAGCTTGGGCGGAAAGATCTGTGGAGACCGGGGCAGGGGCTTGTCTGTTCCAACGTAAACCCCCGTTGCAAAAGAATCTTCGACATCAATCAACCAGTGTGCATCCGGATCCCCAAAACGCTTGAGCCACTGTGATAAGGCCCTCAAGTAGAAGGGCTGACCTTCATCCACCACTGCTGCATCTGTCGGATCATCCAACAACCCAAACCATTTTGATCTCACCCGCTGTAAACATGAATCAGAAAAAGGTGAACCTTCAAGCTTGCCAGTAACAAGTTTAAATGCTTCCAGCCTGATATCTTGGATCTCCCCTTGTACAGCTTCCGCCAGGATCTGAAAAGTGTCTTCTGCCAGTTTCAACATGTCCGCAGTGCGCTTACCACCCCTCTTGGACGGTTTCCACCTGCAAGGGCTGCAAAGGCCAAATCCATCAATGAAACCCCTGTGCACGCGATCCCACTCCACACTGATTGGAGCGCCTGTATTCCCACAAGCTGACATGTCAAACTCTTCCACTTCTTCGCAAATTGTCTGATTAGAAACCGCTTCAACTTCTTTACCAGAATCCTGAACCTGTGAACCACCTTCATCACTGCTATCCACCACAATTGTTGATGCATCTGCCGTGGAACTAGCAACTTGCGCCACTGATGACGCATCTGCCACTGAATGTGTAACTTGCTCCATTGAATCTGTAATTGCTGACGGAAGGAACTTCCTTCTTTTTGAGGGCCCCAGCAATGACGCATCCTTATACCCCCTACCGCAGGATGCCTTGGCATGAAGGATGAGTCCAGCCAGAAATTGACACAACAACGGAGGATATGAAGCACTTGGAGCCGTATTCCATTTTGCCCCTGTTTTGCCAATCAATTTCACAGTCTGTTCATGTCCACAATGTCTGGGGAGTGGACCTTTGTAGTTACCAAATTTGTCAAACTTTGGCAAAGCGCAAAAACATCTATTGTCATCGACTTCCATGTTTGTCAAAAATCTTGTTGGTTTCGGAGTGCTTGCTCCAAAATGACACTGATGCAACGCGAATGAAACTGCTCCCAACTTGGGGATGAGCTCTAACAATTCTGGCCACTGCCAGATTGACCCCGGCCTCTCGCCACGCACTGTCCCAAGGTCCTCTGGATGTTCAAGTAAAAATATACCTCCAGATTCTGCGGTGCACTCACATGCTGCCAAACAACGATCAACAAATAAATTAGCCTCTTCAACTTTGAGTTTGTCACGGTTGTTGAGCCAAGGAAATCCTCTGGGCCATATCTGAGTTCGCAACGGTGTTGGCCCTGGGTGTTGCAACTGGAAACGTGCTCTGCTGAATGTATTGCAAGGTGGTGACACAATGAGCACCCAATCGCCTTCCTTAAGAAGACTGAAAATGCGCCCCCACAGACTTTCATCTGTCAAATCATGTTCAGGTGAACGTTCAATGTCGAATTCCATCAACTCCAATTTGAAACTACCCGATTCAGCAGCTTTCTTCAAGAATGAGCCTATGTCGGAGTGGCGTTGATGCCCTGCAAAAAGGTACATTACCTTGAGAACTGGCTTCTCATTGTCTCCAGAAGGTTGTGCAGCTTTGCTGGGAGAAGCTGCCACTTCTGGCTGTCAAGCGGCTGCCTGACTCTTGGTATGTTCCACTGCTTTGTGGCTTGCGTAGCAACCTTTGACTCTGCACTGATGTACTCTTCCGCAACTTCCATCACAATCACCAGTATTCCATGCAAAACACAACTCACGCCCATCCTCCAAGCCAAACTCAACCCTTTCAATCTTGGGTCACCAGCCTTTCCTTTTGTCTTCCCTTTGAACCCCTTTCCTTTGCCCTTCTGAAATGACGACTGCTTTCCACCAAAGGATCCAAACCCGCCCTTGTTGTTGTAGCGCGGAAACTTGTTTGGCTGCACATCTGGCATCGAAGCACGTAGTGCCATAGGAGTTGTGAAATAGGCTTCTTTGAGGTCGGGGTTCTTGATCACCGATTCCAGGGCATCAGAAAGGGAGTGCCCTGCCAAAACTAACTTCATGGCTTCCTTCCTGAGCTTGTGCTCATATGCCAGCACGATGGACCAGTCAGGTTTGACCCGCTGAGCTGTAGCTTCGGAAGAGGCAGCCGGTATCTGTATACCGTAAACTCGATCCCCCAAGATGTATTCTGTAAATCTTTGAAATGGAGCCGCCGTCAGTCCATGTAGCCAGTGCTTGGCTTTGTAACGAGATGACATTGCCAACCAGGCATACATTTCAACTTTCATGATTTTTCTGTACTCTTCTGTTGACACCGGCATCTTCGCCTTTGTCTTTGTCCTGGTGACCCTGATGTGGCCCGTATTGTCAACTGCTGATTGTATCTGCGAGTTGGATGAAGCTTGCTTGCTCAAGATCTCGTCCAACGGTGCAGCAGAAGGTTCATTGCACTCAGTCTCCTCCGCCTTCAGGGACAAATAGTCCGATGACGGACACTCTGAATCGTTGAGCTGTCCATGAATGGCTTCCACTGCCCTCAGCATTGCCTGCCTCTCATGTATCTGAAGCACTCTGGGCTGGCCTAGTACCTTTGCTTCAGCTTTCAACTCGATCTCCTTCGCCATGTACTCCTTGGCAGTCTCCCAAGCTGCAACCACCGACGCCGTTTGAGCACGGCTGGCAGGTGTATCGCCTGGAATGGCAAAGTCTTGCAAGCAGGCAGTGCGTATAGATGCTCTATCATCCCCTAATGCACTGAACTTACGCAACGTACCATAATGTCTGCCAATTGCAACCTGGTTCTCCAGGCTAACACCAGATTCCCCCAAAATGAACTGCATGTCCGCGTCCACATTGTCCCTCACGAACTCACGCTGTGCAGCCGGATCCATACTGTCCCGCTGATGCGCGCTCTGTCGAGCAGGAACAGTTCCCAAGAATCTACGGTGAGCAAAGCAAAGGATCAAGTGACAGTGCAATGAAGTTGAAATCAACCCCAAACAAATCAAGTGACAAATAATTGGAGCCAAAACCCCAACACAATAGAGGAAGAACAACGCTATCTTCAAATGAAACTGCCAAAGCCTGAAATCCCAATGGTCTAAACCACCGGGCAACTCTCTTGTCATTTCAACTGCTGTTGGCACCCTGAGGTCTGAGCCAACCCATCTCAATGACAAACCGTTTCAACTCAAATCCCTTTAAAACGTCTGAACGTCCAACACAAAACATCATCAGTTCACACAAGAACCTGTGGACCTGCCTTGAAAATTGCCGAACATGAATCACAAGTGCACAACAAAGAATCAAACTGAACCTGTGGACCTGCCTCGCAATGCACAAATCAAATCAAGCACAACATGCAAACGAAATCCCAACTGACAACCGCAACAGGAATCACCACAGCAACCCTCAGTTTTCAACGGGATTCAGCACGAATTGAGTTCGACAAAGTGACACTCCCCCTGCGTCTTAACGCTGGGTCCTTCTCTGTGCACCAGCTGCTCTCTTGTCAAAACATCTCATGACTGTTTTACTGACTCTCTCAACGGAACCTCATCAGGATCCCCACCAGAAACAGTCGAAGACGACGAGGCCGTCGATGAAGAATCCCCGCCATCGTCTCTGCCACACTCCAGAAGCATCTTTCTCTTACAGGCTTGGCAAATTGAATCAAAATCATCACTTGAAATCTCATCGACAAAAAGCACTTCACAGCACCTGTCAGGCTTCACAAAACAACCTGTCAAATGAAGACGTCTCAACGCAGATCTTCTCGAAATGGTGATGAAATATTTTGTGACCTTTTCTGCAACGGCTGCATCTTTCTCACAAATCTTAGCCACAGACTCTGCCAGCGCCGCCTGTGCTTCCTGAGACTCATCTTGGTCCTGCACATCGTCATCAAAAACCTCAAGGGTGGGAAAAATTCCACCGAGCGAGTTGCGACCTGACCAGTTTGACAAAACTGCATGTCGTTTCTTGATTCTGTTTGGATTAGCTCCTGCGGCCTCTGCAGTGTCACACAGTTTCTGGATGGCCTCATCTTCGAAGTAAGGCTCCTCGAACCCTTCAACCAAGCTGCGGTTCACTGCACGCTGGATTTTGTGCACAACCTGTCTAGAGGTTCTTACATACTCTTCAGACGAAGTCATGCCCATGGTCCACCTACCAAGAAATGCACGCTCATCCCTTGAAAAGCCAATTGCAGCTGCAATGGAAGTAAGAAAATTCCTGGGGCTGTGGCCGCTGAAGAACGTCTCCAATCCATCTGGAAGAAGCAAAGCATGTGGCATGAGCTCCCATCCAAGTGCCACTCGGCGAGGAACTGCCAACATGCTCAGCAGCTTTGAAATCTCCGAGCTGAGGCCAGCCGGTGTCAAGAACTTCCGCCTGACCTTCCTCCAGTCCGAAGTTGGCTCCATCACCAAGTAGTCCCTTCTGAACCTGAACTCATCAGACTCCCAAATTTCAAAGCCTGCACGCAGCCAATCCTCTCCAGAAAGCGAAATGGTGCGGTACACAAATGCCGCAACTTCTTTCTGCATTTTGTCTGGCCCTGTTGTCTTCGTTTTCCCAAGCACCAGACGCAACCCATAGTTTGAAAGTGAGCTGCGATGTGGCAAAACAGCTTGCACGTCATCGCACCTCATCGCTCCCCACACCATGCAAAGCACAACCCATGCCAATGCCCGTTGAAAGGCGGGGAGATGATTCTCCACCACAGTGAGCTCAAGTGAAATCACCATTGCAACTGTGTACATCTCAGCCGGTTTCCGTGGCGCCGACTCCGACGCAAGTTCAGCTGCCCAAGATTTGATGTGCCCTTTCCACACTGGATCATCTGAAATCCTGTTCCCTTCGATCACTCTGCCCAATTGTTCAAGCATCCCAAGGGTCGTCGCCAGAGATTCTGGGATGGTCTTCCCACAACCCTCATTGACCCTGTGCTGTAAATAGTCGATAGCATCCTTGACATCCCGTGGGAAAAGACAGCTACGGTGCGTCTCCAGCCAACGTTCGAATGGTTTCCAAACTTTATACCTGTTCTTCAGTGTGTTCCCCCTCCTCGCTGCAAAAAGGTGGACCCAACTTGCTTTCGGGTCCTCAAGAGAATTGATGAGTGAAACCACCGGCAAATCTGCATTGATCATCACCTGGGCCAACAGCAAAGAATACTTCGTGCGAAGCATCTCGAACCTCTGTGACCTAATGTCAGGAGGGTCCTCCTTGTACTTCTTATGTTTCCGCTTCGTGTGCATCTCGAGAACACAAAGGACACTAGTCTTTGTCAGCCTCTGGTACTCACCTTGCACTGTCAAATTGTCCAGGGTTGGCAACTTGAAAAGCTGCCTAGCTGCAACACACGATCGCAGCCGCTTGAGTGGCCTCTCATTGTCCCACTTCCACAACATCAGCTGTGCCACTGTATCCACCCTGAGCTCTTCAACCATTGCAGGAAAACCACATGCCACCAAAGCCGTGCAGTCCTCTTCTCCATCAAATGCTGCGTCAAGCTGCAATGGTGACGGGTACAGAATGCGCAAATGACTCAACACCCCAGGGTCAATTGGAGGCCACTCAACATGGCAATCCATATGCCATGAAAACTAAGTCCAATCTTGATTGGAATGTGAAACGCCCCGGACTACCTGAAAATTTCTTGACAGCCAAGGCTTCGTCGAAATAAAGAGTTGACATCTTCCAGAGAAGTAAAAACCAAAGTGTGACATCATACGAAACTGTTTCCATCTGACATGACTGCAGTCTCGATGTTTCAACTTCCGTTTGAGCATCAACAGTAACCAAATGAAATGAAAGCACTGCAAACCATTCCAAGAGATTGATTGTTCCAAGTCAAACTGTTGTAACCAGAAAACCTCTGCATCAAATACCACGCTGCAGCAAAAACTTCAAACTGAAAAATGTTGAACCTTCGCTACAGCCACACACGAACCCGAGCAAACACCTCCAGAGGAAAACGGCCAACAAGCAGAAACAAGCAAGGCCAAACCGGCCAGAGCACCACCCACCCACCCGACCAAAACTGTGCTTCACATAGACACACTGGGCAAGCCCAGTGAAGCAAGACCTTACTAAAAAAAATCTTTCTTAGAATGTGAGCTGACCGGCCAAAATGGATCTCACGCCACAGCGCGGAGCGTTTAGTAGGGTACTAAACCGTCTGGCCCGCAACACCAAAATTGTGTTCTCGCCACAGCGCGGTGGGTTTAGTTGGGCTCTTTGTTTGCACGATTTTAGAGATTCAATTTTTTGCGTGACGGGCGCAGCACTTGAGAACCCCGTACGGCCATCTGAAAGGTTGAAGCGCGGCTGGATACTTTTATTTGACGCCTCCACATGGAGCAGTGGAAAGGGGGAAGCCGATGGTGCCAAGCACACACTGCCCTGTGGGTAGATCTCCTTCATTGGGGCCCAGATGAAAGATTTCCCTCATTTGCAGAGGAAACCAACAAAGCTATATTTCGATGCTTGCCCCGTCCATGGAACAAAGCTGAAAAAATTGCAGTAGTGAACTCTTTCTCATCAATGTGGTTGGAAATCAACAGCGCTCTTGCAGCAGAAGGACAGCGCCCATCACAGTGGCAAGCCCAACCTGAAGCCTCCACCAAGAAAGATAAACGCGATCTTTGACCCTCAGCTATGATTGCTGTAGCTCCCCTTTTTTCTTCACTGGAAGATTGGACTATCTACACACACACACACACCGAAAGCCGGTGTGACGCTCGGAGATTTACAGATGCTTCAAAAGCGGCTTGTGGTGTTCAGATTTACAGTTCCTGTGGAGAATCCCGACATCGGCATTCCTGCAAAGGGGAATCGTGGATGTTTGCGCTTCCAGACTCCAGACTTGCAGTTGCAAATCCAAGATGAGGATTTGACGTATGTTTAAATCCCCGCGCCCCATCTTCAATGTTAGACGGAGGCTTAAATGTTGCAGTTTCACCTTTTGAACTGATGGCCATCAAAAAGAAATTTTGCCTCAGGTCACATCCTCAAATTGGAATTCACTTCTTAGTTGCAATAGCATCAACACACCCTCAACATTGACAATGGGGTCGCAGGGGTTCAGTTTGTGGTTGGTTGTTGTGGGGGCCATGCAAGGAAAGATGGCCGTACGGGGTTCTCAAGGGCTGCGCCTGCCACGCTTCAATGTTTAAGATGGCCATACTGGGTTCCCAAGCGCAGCGCCTGCCGCGCGTCAACCTTTAAGATGGCCGTACTGTGTTCTCAAGCGCTGCACCTGCCGCACTTCAACCTTTACGATGGCTGCACGGAGTTCTCAAGCGCTGCACCTGCCGCGCTTCAACTTTGAAGATGGCCGTACAGGGTTCTCAAGCGCTGCGCCTGCCGCGCTTCAACCTTTAAGATGGCCGTACGGTGTTCTCAAGTGATGCGCCCGTCACGCAAACAAATGGAATTTGTAGAATAATCGTACAAACAAAGAGCCCAACTAAACCCACCGCGCTGTGGCGAGAACACAATTTTGGTGTTGCGGGCCAGACGGTTTGGTACCCTACTAAACGCTCCGCGCTGTGGCGTGAGATCCATTTTGGCCGGTCGGCTTACATTCTAAGATATTTTTTTTTAGTAAGGTCTTTTTATCGAATTGAACCAACTATACGCTATACGCTGGCCATGTTTTTCCGCAAATTTCCACGGTTTTCAGGGTATAGTAGTCCAAGTTCATCAACTATACGCTCCGCGCTGTGGGAAAACGCACATCCTAGCTTGGCGGCGGTGCCTGCCACATGTTGACGTCCTCAAAGGCGGTTTCTTCCACAGTAGCTCCTGCCATGCGTGCCTCGGGCAGGCCTCGGTAAGCCTTGGAGCGCCTCGAATGCCAACAAACCTGCTTCATCATGGCCCCCAAAACAGGATCCAAAAAACCAGTAGAAACATGGCGGCCAGAAAGGGACCTCGACTGTACAAGAAACAAAGTGGGACGCAGAGAGAGAAAAAGCATGTATTAACACTTACGCCTACGCTCATGCTAGTGCGTCGCAAATCTGCTTGCACAACCTCTGCGGGCAGCAGTAAAATTCTCCGATGGCTGACCCCACTTTTAGGTCCAAATCTGGACCCCAAAACGGGGCCCAAGCAAAGACCTAAAAGAAGAAATGAAAAATGTGATCCAAATTCTGGACCCCATTTTGGGGTCCATATTAGGACCCAAAAATGGGATCACCCATCGGAGTATTTCGCTGCTGCCCGCACATGTTGTGCAAGCAGATTTGCGACCCTGCAGAAAAAGCATGTATTAACACTTACGCTCATGCTAGTGCGTCGCAAATCTGCTTGCACAACCTCTGCGGGCAGCAGCAAAATTCTCCGATGGCTGACTCCACTTTTAGGTCCAAATCTGGACCCCAAAACGGGGCCCAAGCAAAGACCTGAAAGAAGGAATGAAATGTGATCCAAATTCTGGACCCCATTTTGGGGTCCATATTAGGACCCAAAAATGGGATCACCCATCGGAGTATTTCGCTGCTGCCCGCACATGTTGTGCAAGCTGAAAGAAGGAATGAAATGTGATCCAAATTCTGGACCCCATTTTGGGGTCCATATTAGGACCCAAAAATGGGGTCACCCATCGGAGTATTTCGCTGCTGCCCGCACATGTTGTGCAAGCAGATTTGCGACCCTGCAGCTTGAACATGAATGTCAACTCAAACCTTTTTCTCTTTGTGCGGCCCAAGTCCGGTTGCTACTGTCAAGGTCCCTTTATCGCAGCCATGTTTTGACCACTTTTTGGGCCCTGTTTTATGGGCCATGATGAAGCAGGTTTGTTGGTATTCGAGGCGCTCCAAGGCTTACCGAGGCCTGCTCGAGGCACAAGGACAAAGCGAGGCTCACGGGGACTCGAATCTATATACTATGGGGGGACGCTCATGCGTCACCGCAAAACTGCCTGTTTTGGGGCCCTGGTTTTGGAACCTCATTTTGCTCAATCTTGCGGCCGCTTCTTGCTACTTACATGGGGGAAGGTTTTGGCGGCAGCAGGTTCCGAGTCCTTTATGGTGGAGAAATCTATTGCAGGTTCTGGTACGTGAGCTGAACCACTTCAAGCAGCAGCGCAAAGCGTTGCGACGGGCATCTCAACTGTGTTGCTTTGGCTTGCAGATGCAATTCGTCACTGTTTTCTGATGTTGGCCCTCCAGAACAGAAATCGGCAGCAAAGCGCCGCCAGCGGTTGCTAAAAACACCCCAACAGCCGCCAAGCTAGGATGTGCGTTTTCCCACAGTGCGGAGCGTATAGTTGATGAACTTGGACTACTATACCCTGAAAACCGTGGAAATTTGCGGAAAAACATGGCCAGCGTATAGCGTATAGTTGGTTCAATTCGATAAAAAGACCTTACTTAAAAACATCTTAGAATGTGAGCTGACCGGCCAAAATGGATTTCACGCCACAGCGCGGAGCGTTTAGTAGGGTACTAAACCGTCTGGCCCGCAACACCAAAATTGTGTTCTCGCCACAGCGCGGTGGCTTTAGTTGGGCTCTTTGTTTGCACGATTTTAGAGATTCAATTTTTTGCGTGACGGGCGCAGCACTTGAGAACCCCGTACGGCCATCTGAAAGGTTGAAGCACGGCTGGATACTTTTATTTGACGCCTCCACATGGAGCAGGAAAGGTGGAAGCCGATGATGCCAAGCACACACTGCTCTGTTTTTTTTTCCTCGAGTGTGGCCGATGTCGCGCTTGAGGCTCGGTCCTTACATGAGAGTGAGCAGGAAACACAAAAGTGCAAGGACAAAAGGTCCTTGGAGTTGGCAAATCGATTGAAGCAACAAAAACAAAAGCCACAACCAAACCAAAAGCGACGACCCGCAAATCCCCCAGCCAGACTTGCGTTTCGCCAGCGGAAACAGAAGCAAACAGCAGAAACAAGCACACACTGCCCTGTGGGTAGATCTCCTTCATTGGGGTCCAGATGAAAGATTTGCCTCATTTGCAGAGGAAACCAACAAAGCTATATTTCGTTGCTTGCCCCGTCCATGGAACAAAGCTGAAAAAATTGCAGTAGTGAACTCTTTCTCATCAATGTGGTTGGAAATCAACAGCGCTCTTGCAGCAGAAGGACAGCGTCCATCACAGTGGCAAGCCCAACCTGAAGCCTCCACCAAGAAAGATAAACGCGATCTTTGACCCTCAGCTATGATTGTGTGAAAAACGTAAACCCAAGTACACCTCTCGTGTACCCAAATCGACGCTTTCATAAAAAACACTACGCCAGACGCAAACACCTACTGTGGTTGCGACTCCGCAGTTACTTACTTCCCTACCAAGTCAAAGAAAGGAACTTGTTCCACCCCGACTCCTAAGTGCACGTCAGACTCCCTCTTTTCTCTCCAGACGCCACACAACAGGACAGGTCAACAAGATCCAGGGCAGGCACACAGCCACAAACCCAAAGGGAAGCAACAAAG